TACTTTCTTAGTCATTCTACAATTCTGTGTCCAAGATCTAGGAAAACGGTCATAACCTGCATACTTTACAAAAGCACATTCTCAGTAGAATCATACAGAATACTGTGTTATCAATGACTAGACTTTCACAGGTATTAGTTACTATTCAACTTATTGTAAAAAGTACACAAATAGACAGCTATATCTAAATCACAACAAGCTCAGAAAATATATTAGCAAAATAAGGTTGTAGACCCTGATAGCCAAGAAGATACTATTTAGATGGACTATTTATATGGATAAATTAGAACTACTTCTTGTACTCCCATAAGTCATTTGCACCTCTATTATATCATTTTATTCATTTTGCCCGGTATTCACAGTGTGCTTACTCTGTCTGTTTTAAGCACAGTTGAGAATATAGTGGTGTAAAACATAGATAATTTTTTCAGGTTTTTAATTTTCCAAGATTTAAATACCAGTTAGTTAACCTACAGTGCAATATTAGTTTTTGGAGTAGAATATAGTAATTCATCACTTATATAACAGTGCTCATCGTAACAACTGCCCCCCTTAATAACCATCACATATTTAACCCATCATCTTACGTAACTCCCATATGATAACCATCAGTTTGTTCTCTAAGTGAAGAGACTGTTTTCTGACTTGCCTCTCTCTTTCCCCTATGTTCACAGGTTTTGTTTCTTAAATTCTGAATATAAGTGAAATCATATGGTATTTGTCTTTCTGTGACTGACATACTTCATTTAGAATAAGACTTTCTAGCTCCATCCACATCACTGTGAATGGCAAGATTTCATTCATTTTTATGCTGAGTGATATTCTGTTGTATATATATACCATATGTTCTTTATCCATTCATCAGTTGATGGACACAGACTGTTTTAATAATTTGGTTATTGTAGAAAATGCTATGAACATCAGGGTGCATGTATCACTTTCAATCAGTATTTTTGTATTCCTTGAGTAAATACTTAGTAGTGGCTAGGGTAGTAGATCATAGGGCAGTTCCATTTTTAAATTTCAAGGAAACTCCATACTGATTACAATAGTAGCTGCACCAGTTTACATTCCCACCAACAGTGCAAGAGGGTTTCCCTTTCTCCACATCCTTACCAATACCTGTTATTTCTTGTATTGTTTGCTTTTAGCCATTTTGACAGGTGTGAGGTAATATTTCATTGTAGTTTTGACTTGTAGTTCCCTGATGATGAGTGATGTTGAGCTTCTTTTCATGTATCTGTAGGCTATCTGGAGGTCTTCTTTGAAAAAATGTCTATTTATATCTTCTGCCCATTTTTAACTGGATTATTTGTTTTTTTTGGGTGTTGAGTTTGAGAAGTTCTTTTATATTTTGGATGCTAACCCTTTGTTAGATAGGTAATTTTCTATCTTCTCCCATTCTAAAGGTTGTCTTTTAATTTGGCTGATTGTTTCCTTCACTGTGCAGAATGTTTTTATCTTCATGAAGTCTTAATATTTTATTTTTGTTTTTGTTTCCTTTGCCTCAAGATACACACCTAGTAAGAAGTTGCTGTGGCCAATATCAAAGAGATTACTGCCTGTGTCGTCCTCTAGGAATTTGATAGTTTCCTGTCTCACATATAAGTCTTTCATCCATTTTGAATTTGTTTTTGTGTTTGGTTTAAGAAAGTGGTCAAGTTTCATTTTTTTGCTTGGCGCTGTCCAGTTTTTTCATCACCCATTGTTGAAGAAAGTGTGTATGTGTGTGTGTGTGTGTGTGTGTGTGTGTGTTTTCTATTGGGTATTCTTAAATACTTTTCAAATAATAATATACTACATAGTTGTGTTTATTTCTAGTTTTTATTCTCTTCCATTGAACGATGTGTCTGTTTCTGTGCCAGTACCATATTATTTTGATCACTCCAACCTTGTGATATAACTCTAAGTCTGGAACTATGATCACTCCAGCTCTTTGATTTTGTTTTTCAAGATTGCTTTGGATATTAGGTGTATTTTGTGGTTCCATACAAATTTTAGGATTTTTTTTCTACTTGTGAAAAATAGTGGTGGTATTTTTGACAGGGATTGCAATAAATGTGAAAATTGGCTTTGGTAATATAGACATTTTAACAATATTTGTTCCTTCAATTCTTGAGCATGGAATGTTTTCCACTTTTTGTGTCACCTTCAATTTCTTTCATCAGTTTCATAGTCTTCAAAGTACAGATCTTTTCCCTCTTTGGTTAGGTTTATTCTTATGTATCATTATTTTTGGTGCAATTGTAAATAAGATTACTTCTTGTTTTTCTCTTTCTTTTGCTTCATTATTGGTGTATAGAAATGCAACATATTTCTGTATGTTGATTTTGTATTCTATGATTTTACTGAATTTGTGTATCAGTTCTAGCAAATTTTTAGTGGAGTCTTTTGGGTTTTCTTTACATTTTATCATGTCTTCTGCAAATAGTGAAAGCTTGAATTTTTCCTTACCAATTTGGAAATATATATATATTTTTTCTTTCTGTTGTCTACTTGCTGAGACTAGGACTTCCAGTACTATGTTAAATAACAGTGGTGATAGTGGACAATCTTGTTTGTCCTTGACCATAGAGGAAAAGTTCTCAGTTTTTTTTCCCATTGAGGATGATATTAGCTGTGTGTTTTTCATATATGACCTTAATTACGTTGAGCTATATTTCCTCTAGCTCTACTTTGTTGAGGGTTTCTATCATGAATGGACTTTATACTTTGTGAAAAGCTTTTTATTTAATGATTGAAAGGATAATTTGGTCCTTATACTTTCTTTTATTGATGTGGTATATCATCTTAATTTATAAATATTGAACCATACTGGCAGTCCAGTAATATATCCCACTTGATCTTGGTGAATGATTATTTTAATATATGGTTAGATTTGATTTGTTAGTATTTTGTCGAGAATCTTTGAATCCATGTTCATCAAGGATATCGGCTTTTTTACTTTTTTTTTTTTTGGTGGAGTGGAGTCTGTATGTCTTACCTTTGTCGAGGTAATCCTTGCTTCATAGAATGAATTTGGAAAATTTCCTGCCATTTTTCTTTTTAGGATTAATTTGAGAAGAATAGGTATCAATTCTTCTGTAAATGTTTGGTAGAAATCTCCTGGGTAGCCATCTGGCCCTAGACTTTTATTCATTAGGAGATTTTTGATTACTGATTCAAGTTCTTGGCTGTTTATCAATATATTCAAATTTTCTATTTTTTCTTGTTTCAGTTTTGGTTCAGTTTATATGTTTCTAGAAATCAACCTGTTTCTTCCAAGTAATCCAATTTGTTAACATATAATTGTTCACAATATTCTCTTATAAGTGTTGGTATTTTTGTGGCATTGGTTGTGATCTTCCCTCTCTCATTTGTTATTTTATTTGATTCCTCTCTATTTTTGATAAATCTGTCTAGGGATTTATCAATTTTATTAATTTTTCAAGACATTTTCTTGATCTGATCAATCTGTTCTATTGTTTTTTGTTTGTGTTTATTTACTTTTTAGTTTCTGTATCATTTATTTCTGCTCTAGCCTTTATTATTTCTTTCCATCTGCTAGCTTTAGGCTTCTTCTTTTTTTTTTTTTTAATAGCTCTTTTTAGTGTAAGGTTTGGTTGTTTGAGATTTTTCTTGATTTAGACCTATATAGCTATATATTTCCTTCTTAGTACAAACTTGGCTTATACAGTTCATTAACCATAAGGTCAGAACAAAAACCAAAAACTTGCAATTCTGATATTCTTTCTGCGAATACACTGGTATAATCTTCCCCATATGACTTATACACATCACATGGAAGCTGGATAAAATTCAAACTGAATTTCAAAATTGCATTGGTGAGAACATTTCTGATACATGACTATTACAGAAACATCTCTGTGCAATTAGTGATTCTGATTTACATATTAAAGTACTTTGTGCATAGTTATTACTGAGATATGTGGCAATTTGGAGTTGATTCAAAACATGCCCTTTTTCATCCTCTCATAAGGAGTTTTGATCAAAGAAAATAGACCTTTAACACTCCCTGTGAAAGTTAAGAGCATAATAAGGAGGTGTTTATACAGGCCTGGAGCCAGAACAGACTATTTGCTTTCAAGCTATTGTCACTGAAAGAAGGCATCTCTACTAACCTAACCAGCTTAGAAAAACACTGCTCTCTTCCTTCAGGTGTAGACTTAAAATACTATTAATATACCCTCTAGTGGTGTGTGTGTGTGTGTGTGTGCGTTTGTGTGTTTAGTCATGGGTAACCAATGCTTTCTTATTTTTCTGAAACTGTTCAGGTTCTTAAGAAATATTAATATAGAACCATTCACATTTTTAGATATTTTGTAAAGATAACTACAAACCTGCATGAGATGAATGATAAGATGCTATCCCTTAATGAACCCCATCAAAATTTCCATTAAGAACCTGAAAAAAGATCATCACGAAACTCCTCGTACAAATTATTCTAAGGACAAAGTGACACTTTCTCAGAAGTGGGCTAATCTGGCAGGGGGTGGGGTGAGTAGAGGGAATCCAGAAGGAAGTGAGTTTAAATACTACTTTTGCCAACTTGCCTGGGTTAAAGCCACAGATTCTGCATGTAGGGTAAGGAAGAAGCTGGGTTAGATATTTGCAAGTCCAAGTGGGAGGGCTATGAGCCTGCAAATCTAGCAGCTGCAGTGTGTTATGGTAGCTGCTTTCCTATGCTAAGCTGATTTACTTTAAGGTCTGATCTCATCCTGTCAGTGTGAGTTTCCACCTACATGTTTAGCTGCAGTTTTCTGCTTCAGCTGGAAAGCTAGAGTGCACCACAGGCCTCAGGGGAAAGGAGGGAAGCAAAAACAAAAACAAAAACAAAAAAACAAAGAACAAAACACACACACACACACACACACACACACAAAACTGCTCTCAGCACTTGTGCTTTTGTTAGTTCTACAGAAGAGGCAGAGAAATGGGAGATAACAAAGGCTCCATTTCCTTTCTGTTGAGAGAAGGCTTTTGTCTTTCCTCCTGCAACAATGTCAGTGCCTGGCCAGAAAGAGTTTCATGTGAAACAGATTCTAAGGCTACACTGGAGGTGGTTTAGTCATCCTTCTCAAGGGTCACCCAACACTGGAAAATGCCTTCAGCAGGAAGGATATGAGCATAGAGGGATCCCGGTTCAGGGCAGGTTGAATAACCATGCTCAGGACAGAAACAGACTGAAAAAAAGGAAAAATTCTTTCCACCCCAACATACTAACACCAGGGCCAGCACTGGCCCCTGACCATCAGAGATCCTTTCAGAATTGGCACTCACAAAACCTGATAGAACATCTTCGAGCAAATGAAGATACTCCTAAAGCAGTTTCAGAAGAGAATTTGTTTAAAGAAGCCTGTGAGAAACACTTACAAGATTTGGAGATGATTGCTGATGATAATACAGAAGATTCTACAGTGAGGTAAGAGTTTTAATTCGCATAACTGAAAACCATAAACTAGGTTAACTTATTCTCTAAAACTCTCACTTACTGTTTAAATAAAAGTGCTATAATTATCTGAATTTGTATGCAGCCAATCAGGGTTTATAAGAAAACTACTCCTCTAAGTCTATAAAGGAAAATAGCAATTTTACATATGTTTTGATAATTAATGGAAACATGTTTTACGGTTGTGAGTTTACTTTTCTGATTCCATTCCAATTCTGTTAAGATTTCTGTTTTGTCATAAGAGATCTTTATTGTGATTACTAACTTTGTAAATATCCTCTGTGACTTGGATGTTCACTTGTGATTCTTTGTGCCAGTGTAATAAATTACATAAATAGAAACTCTTTCTGACTTTTGTGATTTAGTCCAGTTCTGACAAAATAAAAGCACTAACTGCTCAGCACATTCTTATCTGTTCCTTGGTACCTAGTTGTGTATTTACACTCTATCAATACATTATCTTTATGTGAGAGTACAGAACAGCTTCCTTTCACATTTGAGATTTATTTTAAGTTGTATTTGTTTCATAGATAGTTTATAATCATGAAAATATTTTGCATAAAGCAAATAATGAAATGATGCTTATAGCTGCAATGTTTGAAAGTAGGAAATAGAACATGTCAGCTATTTCAGGACATTAAAATGATATAAGAAGTGATAGTAAAGTATAGCTTTAGTATAGCTCATAAGATATTTTACTTTGTCTTTATTTTTGTGTCTACTAGTACTATTTGAATGGAAGAAAATTACATTCTGTATTCTAATCGTGTCCCATATAACAACCTAGTAGATTTTTACTATTTTTATCTTTTTTATTATCAGATGTTTTTTCCCCAATATATGCAGACACAACTGATGATCTTGGCAATATATTTAAAGTATAAAAGAGCCATAGAAAAAGAAGTATTTTGATATACTTTAAATTATGTAACAGTTCAATCTGAAGCTATGCTTATTTATTTGGAAATAATCTTTATTTATTTATTTGGTATACTGTGTCTCTGCATAAGTACAGAAGAGAAGAACTGGTAAATTTACTTCCAGATATAGGGTTTCTTTTTTTCCCCCAATACATCGGCCTGACAATTCCTTGCTGCCATAAATTCAAAACATAATGTCAGTAGAAAAAGCAACATAATATTTTAACAAATGGTAATCAACTGTGCAAAATGACACCTTTGTAGCAACTCAGTCTTCCTGTTGCAATGTAAACATGCAAAAGACTTTGTGAAATGACTTTAAGTGTAATATTAGATTGTATGTAATACACATATTTTAAGAAATTGTGTATATATTCATTTCCCTAAATAGTTTGTGATTATCCAAGAAAATCTTATATAACTGCTGGGATAGCAGGTTGTATTTGATAGAACTAATTGTACTTTCAAAATGATATATAATCCATGCTTTTAGATTCAGCACATTTTCAAATGATCTCTCCTCAGCATGAATAACAATTTAAAAAACTGCTGAATTTAGAGATTAATATTAATGCATTTGATTCTGTTGTATAGAAATTTAAATTATCCATTGTGACCTCCTGATCAAATTTTTTGAAGTTTCCTGAATTTATTTGCCAGCATGAGAATATATTCACAATAAAATAGTTGCTAAAAAATACTGGATAAAATGTCAAATAGAAAGTGTCACCAAGTAATATATACAGAGAGATATAGATATATATAGATATTTATATTTATATAAAACTTCTCTTTTATTTTATTCCTGATTGTTTTCATATTTTGAAGAAATGTTCTGTTAAATATTCTATGGTTAGACTGGAAAGTTAATATTTTCTTAAAATAAATAGAAATGGTTTTATACATGTGCCAATGACAGTTTAAGCAAAAGAGAAGTTGTAAATTAATTACAATATGTTGGTTTATTAATCTATCATTACCCATTCTGAATTATGTCTTGATTAAGGAGAGTTTAAGAGGGAACTTTCTATGTCTTGCTTCTCTAATGCCTCTCTTCAGCAAGATTGGGGAACAAGAGGAAAGGATCCTGGGAAGTTGGCAACAGCCTGGCATTCTCTCTTGTGGTAAACAGACTAAGTAACAAGGCAGTCAGTGTGGAGAATTATCACACTACTACAAGATGGACTCTGAGACTCTTGGCAAAGTAAAGGTATCTACGTCATCCTACTTTCTACAAATATTGCAGAAATTTAATAGGGAATAGACTAAATTATTAACATGCAACATAACTGAATGGCCTACAATTATTCCTAACACAGATAATGAATCCAAAGTATTAAAGTTGTACATAAGTGATGAATCACTAAATTCTGCACCTGAAGCTAGTATACTTTGTATGTTAGTTAACTGGAATGTAAGTAAAAATTTGGAGGAAGAAAAAAATAAGTAGTTATATTAATATGCTGGTTTAAATATTTAAAAAGCCCAAATACATTCCTATATCACTGAATTATAAGTATGTAATTCATTTAGGAATAGCACTGTATTATGATCTCTATGTGCATACCAGTATACCAGTCATTATCATCTTTTTGTCTTAATTATCTACTAACTCTACATCTTAGCTTCATCACAACTACTTTGTTCAGGGTCCTTTCTTTTCTTTATTTCAACCTCAGCATTACAAAAACAAGAACAAATATTTTAACAAGTGTGTTATGGTCATGCTTCTCATATGACATATATTGATTTTTATTTATTCATTTGCTTTTAGATTCCACTTATGAATGAAATCAGATGGTATTTATCTTTCTCAATGTTACATCTTTCACTTAGCAAAATATTTTACACTGCATTATTCAGTAGAAATTATTATTTCAAAGGAAACAGGGAACACACAACAATTTGTAGTTTATAGAAAGTTTAAGTTTAAAACCTTTTGTCTATGGTTTAAAGTGTGTTGTGCAAAATTATAGAAATTATTTGATTGCTTTACCGACAGCCTCATTCCTGAGAATGAGGTACCATGGTCCTTGTGTTTCATTTCTACTGGTGTAGTATTGCATGTATATTTAACTTAAAATTAATTAAAATATGTTTAATATTTGAAAAATTTGGAACTTATTTCCATTTAGGGATCCAGCAATATGTTAGCTCCATGTTCCTTTAAATATTATGATTAAGTATCTCTAATTGTTATTCCTCTTTTTTAATGTTCATTTAGCCAACATATAATACAAATTTAAAAAATAAACTATAAACTAAAGTAAGTGATTGAAAACAGTTGTTATTTCTAATATTTGAAAGGCGACTATTTCCCTTCTGCATTTAGAAATAAAAATAAAAGACAAAATGTGTGGTACTATTTAATATGTGACTTCAAGAACATCATATTAATATCAACCTATTACACATTACCTAAATGTTCGCTTAGTACTTTAGTTTATATGTTATTCTTTTTTTAAATTTGTATGTCTTCTTTCTAACTTTTGTAAGACATCTTAATAGTAATATCATTGATGTCTTTCCTATGACATTGTAAGTAAAAATAACTTGTAGTGTTGTATGTAAAACTCTTATATTTGAAGATGAAAACCTGGAATCAAGGTGGAGTAGTAAGGAACAGTACTTTCTAATTAAAAAAAAAAAACAAACAAACTCGGGTGGAAATATAATATTCTACAAGATGAACCTGGAACATTTTGCAGTGCTATAAAGTAAGAAAGTCCTCAAAAAATAATGATGGGGGCTATGTCATGTCAAAGGGACACAAGAGCCAACTGAAAAGCTCTCATTGTCCAAAGCTGGAACAATTTTAAAAACAAAATAAAATATTGCTTGATTATAAACCAAAGTAAAAAAAATAAATATTCATGTCCATATTGATATGAATATGTGATTGAATAAACAGAACAAAGGCAAATGTGTTATGTATATAATCTGCCCTCAAGGAGATGGAGGTGACTACTGTACTTTAAATGTGGGCTGCACATAAACTTCTTTCTTAAAAGTGATACAGTATAGAACTGTTGGGGTGGGGGAGAGTAAATTTACAGTAGAGAAACCTAACAGATATGACCTCAGCCAGGTAATCAAGTTTAACATCAGAAGTACTCAGTCATTTTGACAGTATATACGCTTGATATGATGTAATGATTCCGGAATTTCACTTCTGTCCTTTCCTCCAACAAAACCTACAACCTCCTCAATCTAATAATGAGAAAAACTACCAGACAAATCCAAATAGAGGAATATTTTAAAAAGTACCTGGTTTGTAATCTTCAAACAATTAATGTCATAACAAAAGGAAAGTCTGAAGGGCCCCTGGGTGACTCAGTTAGTTGAGTGACCCACTCTTGGTTTTAGGTCAGGTCAGGATCTCAGGATCCTGGGATCAAGCTTCACATAGGACTCAATACTCAACAGGGAGTCTGCTTCAGGATTTCTCTCTCCCTGTGCCCCACTTCCCACTTGCTCTTTCTTTGTAAAATAAATAAATAAAAAAGTAAAGGAAAGTCTGAGAAACCATCACAAGCAAGATCCTAAGAAGACATGAGGATGCAGAGCAGAAAAGACCTTAGGTTAAAAACTGAGGAAATCTGAATAAAGAATGGAAAAATAAATAAAAATAAATAAATTTTAGTTAATAGAAGATGTTGGTTAGTTAATCGTAACAAATGTGCCATACTAATATAAGATATTAACAATAATGGAAACTGGGTATGGGGTTTGTAGAGACTTTCTATACAATTATTAGACTATCACAATTTTTCTGTAAAAAAGCACAATATTTTAGCAAATGCTAGCTTAGTATGTAGGTTCCATGAATCAATAACCAGTTGTAAAAACTTGTTATTCATTTGTTTTCTTTAGTTTTATTCATTGTCAAATGATTAATAGGATATTAAATCAAAAACAGTGGGCTGTTACCTCCTCCATGCAAAAATCCTATGTATTGGCAACAAGATAATATCCAAAGACAATCCTAATGGAAGGCAGCTAAAGTTATGAGAACATCTAAAAGCCATATGCAATTTCTAATCCTATCCTGATGATAAGGATTATAGTTATTATTTATCAATTTTTAAGGGCATAGCAACTAATAAGGTCATAGTTGGGTATAATAATAAGCTAATAGAAATATTTTTTATTTAATCATTGAGTACACCATGGATACTAACAAAGTGGCATATATTTAAGGATGTTTTCAAATTTCAAATGAAAAATAACCCTTTTTTTTCCCCATTTCTTTATATTGCTGTCTGTGATTTATTTCTCAGGAGGAAAACAACATCATATATAAAAACAAGCTTCCTTATAAGAAAAAGCCCCTCTGTTCTAAAATGAAAAATATAGCAATTACAGTATTCTTTTTTTATTTTAATTTTAATTTTTTAAGTAAGCTCCATGCCCAGCATGGAGCCCAATGCAGGGCTTAAACTCCTGACCCTGAGATCAAGACCTGAGCCAAGAGCAAGTGTCAGATGTCCAACTGTCTGTGACACCCAGGTGCCCCAGCCATTGAGCATATTCTGTTCATGGTGATTCTTTAATATTCATATTATAATTTTACTAAAGAAAATGGAAAATGTGTAGCCCTCATGGCTAAGAAATAAGGTTTCCGTAAATACACTTAAAACGAACTGAGACAAGGTAACTAAAAGTGAGAAAATTGAAATCAAGTAGTTTTTAATTATCTGGTATTTTAGGATGAAACAGGTATTACTGAAATTTAAAACAAAAAGCATTACATAAGATTTTACTTTGAAACACAGGAAGATAATACTGTATTTCCCAAATCAATATACAGATACAATATTTACATACTGCTAGAATTTGCACTGGAAGAAAGCAAAACCACTGATCATGTTCATTAAAACTATCAGAAGTGGGGGTGATAGGAGAAGACGACAGAGTAGGAGGACCCTACATTTATCTTAACCCATGTCCACATTTAGATAACACTCACATCAATGTTAATAACCGAGAAAATGACCCAAAGATGGGTAGAATGAACTCCACAACCAAAGGTAGTGAAGAGATCACATCAAAGAAAGTAGGAAAAGTGGAGATGTGCTTTGAGACCTAAATGGACTGTGGCCCTCTGTGGATGGGGCAGGGGTAGTGGAAACCAAGGAAATGATGAAGGGCAAGATACATGATCACATCAGAGACACACCACAAGGAAGACAAACCCCTATAATGGCTTTGAAAGTGTGAGGGTCTGGATTTCATAAGTTCTTACAACCAGTTAGACTTAAAGCCTGGAATTCTAAAAAATGGTGAGCTTGGCTCTGGGAGAGTTCTGAGAGCCTTAGGAAACTCGGTCCCTGCCCATAAACAGGCAGCATGCCAAATAGCCTGAGCAGATATAGCATAGATAAAGCATAGAACCAGCAGTTAGATAAATGCCTGGAGAGAGTGATTTAGTCATTACAGAACATGTCCCAGAGAGATAAGGATATTGGGGAGAGCACTCCAGGAACAAAGTAGCTGGCAGGGAGCAATTTCCCCCATTACTCATCAGGGTAAACAGCAACATCCAGGGATAAGCACTGTGCTCACATTCACTACCAAACCTGCTCACACCAAGCCCTGTCCTACCCCCACCCATCAGTTCATCTACTCTTTCCAGTCAGCCTTGCCTCAGTCCCAGGATGATGTGTCCTCTCCCCCCAGAAGACCAGCACAAATCTTACCAGCACCCTCTCTTGACCCATGCATTTTGTGGGGCCTCAATTCTGATGGCTACAGTATTGTAGCCATGCAGTGGTCATAGCAATGTCTGTGACAGCAGCAGTGGACACTACAGAAGCTTGAGATACACCTTGGAAAAGTGCCCCAACTATACATGCTGTACATATCCACTTAGTACAACTCATCCTAGAAGTGGGGGTTCCAGGTTTCCTTTAACAAGCAGACTGAATCATATTTATTAAAACACACCCCACACCTACCAGGGACCAAGCACTGCCGACAACAGGTGAAAAGAGTCACTGCTGATAACCAGATTGAAGGGAAAAACAAATAGAATACAACAGGACACACACAACACACACAGGAGTTACTCTCCACATTT